TTGGCCCAACACCGTTACCAAAATGTCCGGTATAATGAATATGGGAATCTCTCTTTTGATTGATTACATTTCCGAGGGAGTCTCTGTGATTTGTTATGTGAAGAACACTTCCCAAAGAACCTCTTCGTCCGTTTTTTCCATGAACATCACATTTTGTATTCACCTTGGACTCTACTTCAACGTGTACTTCAGGTGCTGGTTTTTGTTCGAGTTTGACATCGTTGAAGAGGGCCTCGAGTCTTTTAATAGCAGCTGCATGGTTAATGGCAGTGCCCATTTTTGGCAACCTTTTCAATCTCGAGCTTTAATTATAAAGAGCGACTTCTATGATACCTAACATCACGATATAGAGATAGGTAATTACCTATATTTGTTTCGGCAAAATGTCTTTCACAAAAATGAAATCGGCAGACGATTTAAAAACATTACTATTCGTTCACTTTAAAAACACTCGTGGTATTCGCACATAACACTATGACCACTAAGACGTGAGTGTGTCAGCAGGTTCCCATGACTGCGGCCACATTCCAACATTAACGCTCTACGGTCGCGGAGGTACTGTCACGGTACAGGCCAAATGCGCGGTATTATGACAATAAATCTCAAGATCTACAACCCACGTCTAGCCATAAGAAAATTGTAAAAAAAAAGAAAAATTTTCCATATTAGATTTTGTTTACATAATTGAAAATTATGATCTTGCAAAATATTCTAAAGTCAAGGAAAAATCCAAAAATGGCAGTTCCCGCTAAAAATGTAACAGTATACATTTTTAGTAATGTCATAATTTGGTAGTTTCGTAATCTTTAAAATATTTTTCACACAAAATAACGAAAGTCATTTCAAAGAGAAATCAGTAAATGAAAGCGGCATCAATAGCAAACTTTTCAATTTCCTTCGTAAATAGCAGGTGGATGTTAGTAAAAAGATGATAATGTAAATGTAGGTACGCAAATGGTAAAATTTTACTGTAAGCGAAAGGCTACGAAGGTATGTCTGTTCTCTTTTTGTGGGATAAAACATGTCATTAATTGTTAAACATTCCTTTTTACAGAGAAAACTTGATGCTACTAATTTTTTAACTCCCTTGACAGGTAAGTTACTGGGATAAAAATTCGATAGATCTTTATTATGTCCTGAAGTCTACTAAAAATATTTGCACGATTTGTATGGGCTAATTATGGTCGAATAAGTTGTGTGTTATTGCTTTCGTTTCGAGGATTCCAAACATTTCGTTCAACCCAAAATATTATGTAACGTGTACTTAAAAACTCGTATTCTTAAAAATTACCTTCCTAATGAAATATTTTTTTCCAATGGATATTATTACAGTAAGTTTACTACGAAATTACAATGTAATAGAAAGTACAAATTTAAACCAGTAAATAGCAGAACTTTTAGCCGGACGACACGAGTTTTTTGGTACACTGTACATTTGATTAGTTTTTGGTGGCATTACTCGATGTTCACGAGAAAGTGACAAACCACAAAAACCACATAAATAATATAAATACGTATAAGTGATGTTCTACAAATGATAGAGGAGTCGTTAACGATACATTCCTTACGTTCAGTAAATCAAAAAAATTGGCGCAGTTCTTTATACCGTACCTCCATACATCTGAAGGTCAAATCAGTACGCGCATTGGTGTTAACCTTTTCAAATATGTGGTACACAATAGCCAACCTTTGGTCAAGGAAGTTTAAATCATAAAACAGAGAAGACTAAGTCGCTATAAAGTTAATTTATACTCCTACTTTATATATTATTGAACAAAATTATGTAAATCGTAAATTTTTACGAAGAAACAACATCTTTTAATTAATTTAACCGAATTACTTGACAACGCCAAAAGTAACAGAAAAATATATTAACATATACATACTTAGAACACCGTGTATATTTCCTTAGATACGGATTATTTACCTTTTTATAGTGCACTAAATATTTAATCCGAATTAAAATCTAATGTGCGATTAACTCGTGAATCTGAAATTTTGACTGGTTAAATCTGATTACGCGATCGGTAAATTGCGTGATTAAAAATGCGTCTCTAAACAGGGTCCCTATTTCTTAATTTTTCTTAAACATTCTAAAAGATCATTCGGTTGATGCAGGTTTGATTCTAACATTATCAAGCGGCTACTATCAAAGCAACTGAGATTAAGGATACCGTTACTTTACGTAAATCGTTACATAAATGGAATTATTAAATTAGAAGATGATCCGAGGCTTCGAAAACCTTAACTATTATTACATGTACTGATATATAATTTTATGTAACTTTTTAAACAACGTTTGTTTCATTTGTTTTTCAAAACCGAAGTCTAAGTCAAATGTGATTAAATTAATGAGCGGTAATGGAGTTTTGTATACCCGGTGTGTAATTTTTACATATTAAATAAATAAATTCTTATCAATGCAAAATAAACATGCAATATTAAAGATAGTTTAATTATTATTAGCATGTAAATTACAGGGCGTGGGATTAATAGGTGTGCTATGTCATTGAAAATGAAAATGATCTTAATAGTTTCAATTTGAATTTATTCAAAAAAAATTTCAAAATTGTTAAGTTCGCTTAAGAAATTACATCTAACCGGTTACTTATGTAATCAGAGATCTGCAAGTTCTAAATGTCAATAAAATCAAAAAGTCACACGGCATATTTATAATTGGCTATCTTTTTTGTACTCATGACTAATCCGATCAAGAGTAATAAATTTTTTAGATGCCTCTACTGTTTGCAAACTGGTTATACGAGAATACAATGTTGCATAACTTCTAGTACTAATTTTTTCGAAAAAGAAAACATAAAACTTACGTGTTTTATTGAAAACTAATTATTTTAATACAAGTGGAATTAATGTATTTGACAAAAGTTGTTTTAAGCTTAATTTAGTTTAAATAGAGCAATATTTATCTGACACAAAAATTGAGACTTTTATAAAGTTCCCATTTCAAGATTTGTTTTTAAACAGCTACAATTATTGCTATTCTAAAACGATGTGATAAGAAGAATAAATCCTAATTTGTAATAAAAACTATATATGTATTTAGTTACTTTTTTCGTCTTTTTTTGTGAAAATTATTGTCACATCAATCACGTTGGGTTACTATATTAATTATTATATTATGTTTACCCTGTTCTGCTCTTAGTAGCATTTATAAAAACTAATACATGAACTGAATGTGTTAATTGTGAAAGTTAAATAATAAAATATTTCGATTATTAATAGTGTTATTACTTTGTGTTGTTAACTTGTGTAAAAGTATTTTTAGTATGACCACTACCTAGTTGTACACAAAATGATAAAGTAAGATATAAAATATTTGTATAAAATTTCGTTCTTGATTTTTAAAAATTAACACTTGTTAAACAAACTAAGTTAGTCCTTGCGAAACTAAAATTTATAAAAGTATTTTTAAGTTAGTAGCTCAATTTACTATTTTAATAGCATTAGAATGCTAGACGTACTTAAAGTGTTACAGAAATTAGAACATGATATAAAAACTCCTGAGAATGTAGATCTATACAGGTTTTAAGCCTCAAGCAAGAGTAGTCAATTTATTTGCCTCCGCCAATGTATGTCAATGAATTTTCCTTCTGATAGCCTTAATCAGCAAGCTGAAGAAAAACTGAAATAACTTATAGGAACAGAAATGCATAACAAAAATGGAGAATTTGTTTTTAAAATCGTTACCGTAAAATAATTAAAACTATTTTTTTGGTACTTATTCTTTGTTTAATTTTGTAACAAATACAACAAACAGAACTGATTACAAGCTACATTTCTTACTTTCATAGTTTTGAAGAATTTATGTAAATCACATGTAGCTGACAATGACTTCTTTGTTAAGATTTAGATGAGCAATACTGTCATTCCAAAATTCTTAGAGATCTAAGATTAATACTTTCACTTGTGCTAAATTGGTTTAATTTGAGAGGGTATTTTATAAAAAGTAACGAGAATTTAACCTAATTCACAATAAAAAATTAAATTATAACAAATTTTCACCATCAAATGCAATGGAGAATTACATTTGCGGTTGCTCCTACATGGTTTAAAAATGTTCCAGAATGTACCCCAGGCGGCATTTACTACATTTTGTTTAAACATATGAGAAACAACCAATAGGCTATACTGGGTACTAGACCATATGGGGTCCAATTACCTTACGTACTACCAAATTGTTCAAATTTGTACACACTCTAATATTTAGCCTTGTCGACAGAACACAACAACTTTTATATATGACACAATCTGCATTTAGATGTCAAATACTTTTTTGGCCCACTATACATAACAATAATGATAAACGAACATTAAATTGGTAAGCAAATAATTGTAAAAAAAAAACCTGTCCTCTATTAGGCACTGCCAATTTATGTAAATTACTTCCAATATCTTATAACTTGCTCACAATTGTAGAAAGAGGCGCAAGGTTAAGTTGGTTAAGTCTTAAAATAGCGCACTGTAAAGCAGACTTAATCACACGACAATTAAAAAACAATATTATCAATATTTTTGTGCAGGTTACGCAACTGCCAAAAGTTAATAAAGTGATCCATAATCATGCGACGCATTTATGTAAAATGTACTCACATTTAAACATTATTGTGTCATTTTATTACGTAAGAACACTTTAATAAAAGTAACACCGAAATGAGAAATAATAAAGTCATACATACTTACAAAATAAAAAAAAAAAAACTTGTACTACGTTTTTATACCATGTACAGTAACCGATTCCCGGTTACTTATGTTTTAATTTCTATTTCCTGCAGTTCCCTTTTTACTATAATCCTTTGCAAACATATGGGATGGGTAGTAGATTAATAATAAAATAATCCTTTATATTAAGGTAATACGCTTTTCAGAATTCAAGCATAATTTTACAAATGAGAGAAATTTGAGTTCATTGTATTAAAACCTATTATTCATTACGTAAATTTTATTTATCATTTATTCTTCATACCATAAAAAAGTTATCTTACCTTAACGGCGTCGTAAACACCTTCTTGTAGTCCTCTAAGGTCTCTCTCATCAGGTTGTGGGTGTCCTCTGAAACAAAACAACATTGTTATTCTATGCTCATAGAGCAAGGATAAAATGTTCAAAATGCTTGCAGAATATGTAATTACTAATTATGTACGTATGTTTTGGTATTATGTAAATTAATTATGAAAAATGCCCGTATCTGAACATAAATAAAATAAAATAAAATTCAAAATGTATAGTACCTGTAGGTGTCACTGTTTCCATTAAGATTTGGTTTTGGTGATGGAGTACCTCTGGTGACAGTTGATGTACCATTTACTGGTTTATTTACGTTTTGCTTGCTGAAAAATTAACAAAATATGTTGTCAAAAAATGATAAAATAGTCGTAAAATTTATAATGTATTGATATATTATTCGCGAGAATCGTTAAACTACATAGAAGAACTTTCTTGGAAAATAGCATTACTGAAAACTGTATTGTAATGCAAAAACGGAAATTCTTGCATTAGAAATGTTAACCTCTTGAATTCATACAATTAAATTCAGGAAACGAATGATTGTGTGATGTGTTGACTCACTACATTAAATAAAAGGAAAAAAAGATTTGTATACTTAAGTAGCATTACTTACACAATGCTGATATTTTCTTAGTCATTTAAGTTTAAAATGGTTATGTTTTTTTACCAGATGTAGATGTACCTGCGCAGTATAAACGACACCTTTGATACATTTCTTTCACAAAGTGTTACCATGCTGATATTCATGATGATTCCACAGCAAAAATGTAAATAATGAAGTTAATTTTGCAGAAACTGGTATAAATCTAATTTGTCAAAGGTGAATGCAAGTAACTTTTTCAACAAATGGAATATACATAAATAGTGATAACGTCATATTCCTTGGAACAAACAATTTTGGATGGCATTTAAGGTTCGAAGCAACATCCGGGAACTGAAAGAGCTACTTGTTAATTTCTTATTTAGAAAACTGTGCATTTATTGTTAACCTTGATACTCTATTGAGTATATCCAATGCTTTTTTCCGTGATATTAATTATGTTACATAGTTCTGGGGTAGCTCTGTTAATACAAATAAAATATTATAAAAAAGCTGCTTGAGATAATCACACAGAGTAACTGCTGTATAAAATACTCTCCGTTCCTTGCTTGTACAAATTAAACCCGCTAAATAATAATTAATATAAGTCATAATATTAATGCTGAAATTCAGTCAGATAACTTACGGAGAAAATCACTTAAATGTTTTTTTTATCGGACAAATTGAACGCAAAGAAGTTCTTTAAATTGATACACTTGTACAATTGCATTCTACAAAACTCCGTGAGAGAATTTAGTTTTCATAAAAAAAAAATATTTACTGATATTATTTTTACATGTTTTATTGGTTCTGAATTTCTTCTTTTATTATTTATTACTTTTGAAATGTGTAATTTCATTTTTATTTCTGTTTTTCGACCAACATTTCGTTGTTTTTACTTCCTGGACATTTTACTTAATATGTAATTATGTACGTTTTCTCAACGTACAAAACGTAATGTCAGTCTCCCTTTTCCGTCTATTTGTGATATGGTAACTTTCTTAAGCATATCTTCTTTGAAACCATGGACTGTGAAATTTTTGGTGTATTGGTATACTTTTTGTATTGTGTACATGATAGAACCAAAATTTTGTCTGTCCGTTCCGATAAAAAAATTATGACATCATCTGAAAATCTTACAAAGTAAGCACACTTGGAATTCATATTGTAATGTGTTCCTTCTTCTGAGGTTAGATGTTGTTTAGACTTATTATGAGTAAATAACTGAATTTACTGCAGGGTCATTAATTCACAACCAATCTACACTCAGGTGATAACGTGATTTTTATCTAGCATCATTTTCACCGCCACTTCAAAAGACAACAACAAATCAAAGAGTGCAGAAACCATCTTCGTATATTTAAAGAACTGTTCTGGATCTTTTTTTTGTGAACTGCATAAAGACTAAGCACTCAAATCGATGCCGATTACTTTCATTTATTTTTGTTGGAGTATGAACCGCCTAAAATTTGACGTAATTTTATACACGTTAAATGTTAAATGTAAAGGAACAAGTATAACCAACTTTTAAACCCCATACATTACTAAATAGGAAAAATCGATTTAAGATAATCCATGAAGTAAGTTCTGAAACTAAAACTGCATTAGAAAATCAATATCAATAGCCACATTTAAACGACTGTGTGAAAAAGGATTAGATGAGAATTGCTGCAAAGAAACCACCACACCTGAAAAGTTTTATTTATGTGCATACAGGGTGAGTCACTAAACGCGCGGTCCTCGATATCACATTACTTATTCTTATTGCAGACAGAAAAAATTGGTCTAAAGAGTTTAGACAGTACTTCCCTCGCTGTCGGAAACTTGACGACTGCATGGCTATTGTGTTTTTTTCTCATTACATTTTTGTAGTGGGAATTTAAAATTGCGATGACGTCATCAACATTTTTGCAAGGACACGGATATCAGTTGGGATAGATGTAGTGTAATACTAAGAATAAAATTATTGTATTCCCAAATTTTCGGGAAAATGAATTGGGTCGTTTTGAATATTGATTTTTTATAATCAATAAAATAATGAAACAATTTACTCACGTATACGGCAACTGAAAATCGTTTATGTATAAACATTCTTAATTTAAGATGACAAGCGTAACAGCATACGTGAGAGCCAAACAGAGAAACTGTAAACAAAACGACCATCGGTTTTATTGCTTCGACTTCCGCTTATTATATAAAACATATGGTTTTATTTTAATTCTTGACGGTGAAATTCAGAATTGGTTGATTATAAACATGTCTATTTCACATTCGCGGAACCAAGTGAACAAATGCAGGTCTGTAATGTTAAAGTCGATGTAAATAAGCCTGCTACCCTTATGTTTCAACCGAGTTTTTCCTTTAACAAATTTTGTGTCTACCAAATTGGGTTGGTTGGGGTGTAATACTAATAATAAGTGTTGCCTTTAATTTAATCAATAAAATAAATTGACTTCATTAATTTTTTTTGAACCACCTCTTAAGAAAATCTAAAAAATATGAATGGAATGATAAATCACAAGTACAAACTCATCATATTTTTTGCATTTTAGATAGGATTTATTCAGCAAAATTTAAGGGTGACGTCATCAATTTTTTTAGGAGGGATGAACAAATATATTTTGAACAAAAGTTTACCATGCTTATAATAACTTTAAAATATTCCCAAGATTTCAAAGCATTCGGTTTTCTAATTCCTGATTAAATCGATAAAATAAATTCACGCCTTCATTAATTTTTTTGAGTCACCCTGCATATGCAAATCCAAAAATATGATTGGAATGATAAATCACAAGTACAGACTCATCATATTTTGTACATTTTAGATACGATTTATTCGGCAAACTTTTGAGCTGACGTCATCAGTTTTTTGTAGAAGATAACCAAATATATTTTGACTAAAAATTTATTATGCTCTTTATAACCTTAAAACATCTGCAAGATTTCAAAGCATTCGGTTTTGTAGTTCCTGATTAAATCAATAAAATAAATTTACGCATTCATTAATTTTTTTGAGTCACCCTGTATATGCAAATCGAAAAAATTTGAATGGAATGATAAATCACAAGAAGAGACTCACCATATTTTGTACATTTAAGATAGGATTTTTTCAGCAAAATTTTGTGGTGACATCATAAATTTTTTAGGGGGGACGACCAAATGCGTTTTGATCAAAAATTTACCATGCTTATGATAATTTTAAAATATCTTCAAGATTTCGAAGCATTCGGTTTTGTAGTTCCTGAGTAAATCAGTAAAATAAATTTACGCTTTCATTTATTTTCTTGAATCACCCTGTATATGCAAATCCAAAAAATATGAATGGAGTGATAGATCACAAGTACAGACTGATCATGTTTTGTACATTTTAGATATGATTTATTCGGCAAATTTTCGAGCTGACGTCATCAAGTTTTTGGAGGGGATAAGCAAATATATTTTGACTAAACATTTATTATGCTCTTTATAACCTTAAAACATCTGCAAGATGTCAGAGCATTCCGTTTTGTAGTTCCTGATTAAATCAATAAAATATATTTACGCATTCATTAATTTTTTTGAGTCACCCTGCATATGCAAATCCAAAAATATGAATGGAGTGATAGATCACAAGTACGGACTGATCATGTTTTGTACATTTTAGATATGATTTATTCGGCAAATTTCCGAGCTGACGTCATCAATTTTTTGGAGGGGATAAGCAAATATATTTTGACTAAACATTTATTATGCTCTTTATGACCTTAAAACATCTGCAAGATTTCAGAGCATTTGGTTTTGTAGTTCCTGATTAAATCAATAAAATATATTTACGCATTCATTAATTTTTTTGAGTCACCCTGTATATGCAAATCCAAAAAATATGAATGGAGTGATAGATCACAAGTACAGACTCATCATATTTTGTACATTTTAGATATGATTTATTCCACAAACTTTTGAGCTGACGTCATCAAGTTTTTGGAGGGGATAAGCAAATATTTTTTGACTAAAGATTTATGATGCTCTTTATAGCCTTAAAACATCTGCAACATTTCAAAGCATTCTGGTTAGCAGATTAAAAATTAAATTTCAAAATGTTGTTTTATAATTTTGATTTTTTTTTCAAAAATCTGGACGTTTCGGGTGAAAAGTCGATTCAGAGTTGTAAACTACATGTGTAAGACTATGTTATTTTATACAATTGAAAACCCATTTACTATGTACAATTTTGAAGTGACGTCATCGCATTAGTGGTGGGGATGATTAGACAAATTTTGGTTAGTGTTTTACCATCTACATGATATTCTTAATATAAGTACAAAATTTCACAACAATCGGTCGAGTACTTTCGGAGATTATCTGTCTAATAAAAATCCGGGACAACAGACGGACAGACGGACAGACGGACGAACAGACGGACAGACGGACAGACAGACGGAAATGGGAGACCTATTTCTTCGTCTTCTAGGGGTCATGAAAGATCGAGAAAACGTAAAAGTAAAGAGTCGGCCGACGGACTCGATTACAATACTTCCTTTGCTTACGCTCGGGAAGTAAAAAGCATGCATTAAAATTATTTTCGACTATAGTGTTTTGTTTGCGAGACACTGCACACAACTTGTTTTTTTTTTTTTATATAATATATATATAGAATACGCTACATATTTTTATAATCGTCGTGTATTTTTGAAATTTTTGTTTTCTTTTAGCATATTAATCGCATACTCTCCGTAAAATACTATAACCCAGACATGACAAAAA